TTACTAAGAACAATTTAATAAGAGATTAAAAAGAGTTAATCAGTAATCATATTTATTAACGCTGCGTTTTTAAAGACAAAGCAAGAGAACTGTAATGGTCCTGCTCTGTCCTTGTCTTGGTTTCCTTGTTTTTCTTTGTCTCGTGCTTTTATTTATGTCTGACATGTGCCTTTGTTTTCTAGTCCATGTGCTTTTGTTGTTGTGTTAGCTCCTCCCCTGTTCTGACAGGTGTTCAGTCTGCACCTGTTTCTTGTTTTTAGCTCCGCCCCGTGATTATTCTCAGCTGTCTCTGATCTCGAGTGTTTGTATATATGCCCTTGTTTCAGTTTTGTCTTTGCTTGGCGTTGAATGTGAATGTGTGTGCATGTTTGTTCTGGATTGTTCAAAGATCAGTTGTAGTTTGTTCTTATGTTGTTGTTGTTTTGCCTCTTATTTCTGTTTTCCTGCTTGTTTCACTCCTGCTTATTGCTCCTGTTTCTGCCCTGGACTTCAATCAATAAAACCAACTCACCCTTGCGTCCTGCTTCATCTCCTGCTCACCCAAGAATAAATGAGAAGAAAGACAAACAGATAAAAATGCTCAGCTGCCTCAAACAAGAACTGATAATAAAGAAAGTAAAGTGCAGCCTGTCACAGTGGCAGAGAGACAGTTTACCAACCCTAGAACTCAGTAATAGTAACCCTGATGATAGTTGATGAACAAGCCCACCCAATAAATCACACTTGGGCCAAAATTTAGTCTCATAGTTTCCAGTGTAAGTAAAGCAGAATGTAAAAGGAATGAATAAGAAACACCAAATAAAGCCCACCAGCTAATACAAAGCAGGAGCAACAACAAAACCAAAACAAAACACTGCAGCGGTGACGTCCGTTCACTCGAAACACTCGTGATCTGGAAAACACTCTGGTTACATCAGCTTAGAGTGGAAGTTTACAGGAAAGTCTAAGCTACCAAGATGGTGCTGCGAATGGGAGCCACAGTGAGACACTCACACATTTTGTGTTTGTTTTTGTTTGTTAATGTCGTCTGTTACACGTCAAACTTGGTCAGTTAAAGCACAGAACAGTTACTGACCCTCAGGGAAAGCATTCCTCCTGATATTATTCCAGAGTTTATTTAAAAATTTTCTGGATTTTTGGAAATCCTCACAACGGCTGAACTGCCCCCTACTTTACCTGACGAGGAGGCAAAGAAGAGGCGGAGATGCTGTGGATATCGTGCACTTTTACTGTCTTTATTTGTCTCCAATCTGCAATCTCTACTCAATAACAATAATAATAATAATAATAATAATAATAATTTCCCCTTCCCACACCCAGGTCGCTTTACATACAAAAAAAGTGAAAGTGAAATTTGAAATTTGCCTGGTCTTCTAGTTACAGGCTGAAGCCGCCCAGGACAGTCCAGGTTCTCAGAATTCTTCTGCCTCCCTCAATCAGTCTTCCCTCATACTACCTCCACCATGTTGAAGGCACAGTCCAAACTCACAAAGTATAAATAGCAGATATCCACACATCTCACATGTACACCTCCTGAGCTCCTTTCACATGGGCTGTTTATAATTAGTATTCTTTATTTAATGTCCTATTTATTGTATTTTACTTTGCCCTTAATGTAATGCTTGTCACTAGTCTGTGTGCTTGTCTGGTCTGTTTAGAATGTTACACATGTGACTCACCAAGACAAATTCCTGGTATGTGTAACATGCTTGGGGAAGTAAAGTGATTCTGATTCAGAGGTCTTATAACTAATTAAAATATGGGTTGGAATAAGCTTTGATTTGTCTTTGAATTAATTAATGTCTTCCAGAATTGTTTACCACCACCAGGAAGGTTTTGCCAAAAGAGTCTAATGCTAAATCAGTATCTGGGATTTCAGAAGTGTATTGGATGTCACTGAGTGCCAGGTCATTTAAGAAGCTTTGGTCATTAAAATGTTTCAAATTCTTCTAACCACCACCTGAGAGCCTGACTTTATTATGCTGGTGTTTCTAATGTATCCAGCAGGGCAGTGGTCACTAAAACCAGGGTCAAAATCACCTATAGAGGTAATTCTGTTAGTGTTGACTTGGTGGGGTCATGTAAGTTTGGTCATGTTGGTTCAGTAATTAGTTGTATTAGAGACAGATTTCCAAACACTTCCTTGAAGTGATGGGATGAATTAGTTAACCAATTCAGATTAAAGTCTCTTATGACCAGCATTTCTGGGTTGATGTATGGATTTAGAAGTTCAGTTTCGTCAGCAGCAGAAAAGGAAGGAGGTCTATAGATCCCAGTTACCGCAAAGCTGTTATTGTGTTCTGCACACAGGTTTAGGGCTAAAAACTCAAAGTTTTCTTTGGATAATGCATAAACAGTTTTTACTTGGTTAGTGGGTTTAATGTAAATAGCCACTCCACCACCCCTCGATCTCCTATCAGCTCTGTACAGATTATATCCAGGTAGGGCTGCTTCTGAGTTGGACACAGACTGTTTTAGTCAGGATTCAGTCAGAGCTACAATATCAGGATCAGCTCGTGAAATCAAAGTTTCAGATTATCCAGGTTCTCATGCTGAAGTGGCTCCTGACGTTTAATGAATTATGCCTTTTCTGTGTTTGAAGTTAATAGGATCAGTTAGTAATTTCATAGCAAGCATATGTTTCGGGGTCTGTGAGACGATTCCTGGGTGGAGGGGTGACTGGGATGCCTAATGCTGATAGGATGAGCTCGGTTAATAAAAAAAATAAAATTACATTTCCGCTTAATTCCCATGTCTGAGTGGCAGATCGTAGGTCGAGTGCTAATGATTACAGAGATAGCTGAGTAATCATTTCTAGTTTCATTAAATCATTTCAGGTTAACAGATTAAAACACATTGTGACTTAAAATCTGCGAGCCCAGCCTGCTGGGATGAATCCTGCTGTTCCTATGAAAGGATGGACGGTTCCAGAAAAGATTCAAATTGTCAATAAAAACAATTTATTCACTAGACAAACCCCCTGCAGCCAACCGTGGAGGTTTCACAAGCAGCTACAATGACCCATGCCTCTGGGCCTCTGGGAGGGGACTGGGCCAGGGGACAGTTTTTGAGTGCATCAAACAGCTGTGTGAAGTCTTTCTTCAGTTCAGGTTTTTCAGATTTGATAAGCCATTAGGAAACAGTGTATACATTTTCATAGCTAAGCTGATGACGCAGTTATACATTTCTATTCCTTCTGATGATCAAGACAGGCTGACCAGCCGAGTGTCAGAAAATTCTCATAAAATTTCTTATAACTTAATGATGAAAAAAATGAAATACCGATTGTTTGTACCAAAACTCTGAGTAAGCTGCTTTATGAGAATCTTGGATCTTTATCTTCATAAACCGAACCTGCAGTAGAAACCTGGGTGAGATCTGAGACTCTGAGATCTGTTTAATCAGCATGTAAACAGTCACTAAATCAGCTTTAATCAGTGAGAAAATCACTAAAGTTCAGGCTTTTCTCTCTCAGAGCGACGCAGAGAAACTCGTAGCTGTGTTTGTTCAGCAGAGTTGATCACTGTAATGATCTTCTTACTGGAGAAAACAGTCCATCCTCTAGAACCCGTACAGAACGCAGCAGCACGGATCCTCACAGCACCAACACAGAGAGCTCATATCACCCCGTTACACACTGCACTGACAATAGTAATATTAAAATACATTTTAATTAATTATTATTAAATTAAATAGTAATATTTTTATTTATAGAGCATTTTTTATGTTGATGGCAGCTCAAAATGCTTTACAGAAAGAAGATAATGTTTTATAGTAATAGACAAGACAATAACAGATCTGGGAAAAAAAAAAAACAAAGGCACAGTTTTAATTGAAGTTAAAGAGCTGCGTTTTCAGATGTTTATTAAAAGTGAGCTCTGAGCTCGACTGTCTAATAAAAGCTGAACTGAGCTCCACAGTTTAGAAGCAGAATAACTGAAAGGGTCTCTCCACGTTTTCTGTGTTTTACTGAAGGAGTTCAGAAGGTCAGAATCTGCAAATCTGAGATCATAAACAGACGGTCAGGAGCTTTAAGGTCATTTAGAGCTTTATAAACCAGCAGCAGAGCTTTAAACTCTCTCTAACAGATCCAGGCGGTCAGTGCAGTGTGTAACGGGGTGATATGAGCTCTCTGTGTTGGTGCTGTGAGGATCTGTGCTGCTGCATGTTTCATGAATCATACAGGGCTGCATTGTTTTCTTAGATATTTATGGAAACATATTGTTTTCATCAATATTTCTTCAATATTGATAATGATGGAACATTGCTTGTGTCTTCTGCTAATGTTAGAGGACGTGGATTGATTTTTGATTCTACACCTACTCTTCACCTTTTATATACATGTGCACTTTATGACAATTTAGGCTTTTGGCCGTCTCTTCTCTTAGCACTCGCTCAAACACTTAATAAATGCAATTTGTAGCGTCCAAGTTAGATTAGTGCAGCGTTTCTCTAACTGTCATTCCAGCCAAAACCCCAAACAGGTTACAGTACAAGGTGATTCACAAAGATTCATCCATTTCAAAGCACCATATTTCTCCAACCGTGAGGTGCTTAGGAACCAATCACAATCCAATTGTAAGAGGGGGTCATAGAGTTTCTGACTGCCAGTGGAAGATGGCCCCCTTCAGTCTGAGAGGAGATGAGACCCCTGAGCAGAATGTGTTACTGAGACCTTGTACAATTACATAATAAACTTTAAGCTCATTTAAACCATTTACAGTTCACTGCATTGATCTGTAATGATTTACAAGAGAAATAAATCAGTTTGAAATCAGATTAATCTTTTTGAATCACGCTGTATTTTAGAGAATGCATCAGAAAGGGACGTAACTTAGTCTAAAAGAACTGACCATGTCACCCTCATTCTCCGGAGCCTTCAGCGGCTGCTGTTTGATACCATTAATCAATAATAAAACAGTATTTCTCTATGGTCTCTAAACCTCTCACAACTTTAATTTAGCTTAGGTTCTTTAAGTCAAATTCATCACGAGACAGAATGGATGCAATGAATCAGTTTATTTGATTAGAACATTAGAGAACAATTAGACTTTTGATTGGTTTACACTGTTTACTTTTCTTGATCTTTTCCACAAACAGACTCGATCACTTCATCTTGTTTTAATAATCAATCATGTTGATATGCTGATTTTATTTCCGTGTCTGTTCTCTCTCTCCCTTTGGTCCAGGTTCCACACTTGGCTGAAAGAAGTGGAGAGAAAAGTCTTAAGTAAGAACTGGAATATAATCCAGAATCAATTCCAGCAACACAGAAAATCCCTCTAACTCACCTGCAGTGGGCGGTAGGGAGGGGCACATGATTCTCCATACAAACTGCACTCCATTATCTGAAACACATTAAAAATCATTCCTAAAGCCCACCTTTACAGTTCCCTTCTATCTTTTAGCGTTTTTGTTCTAGATCTTATGTTGGCTGTGAGTTTCAGCTTCTTCAGTCATCAGTAACTCCTCTGAACAATCAATCACTGCTTTAATGAACTTTAATATACAGACAGTGATACAGCAGCACTTTGACAATGAGGATAAACTCATTCCAGTTAAATCTCAGACACACCTCGCATCTTGTCTCTTGGTCAAAGGTTGACATCAGCACCCAGATCATCTTGGTCATTGCTGCCTCAGGAGTGATGTCATATCCAGAAATAACATGTGCCTTCGTCAAAATCTGGCATGAGTTGGAGAAAGGAGAGCTGTAAGACATCTTCCTCTATCTTTACAGGAACTTTAACGTAAATGTAACATGTAAATATCATTCAGCATTAATGGTGCCTTCACAGATGTGCAGGTCACCCATGCCATGTGCACTAATGCCCCCCTATACCATCATGAATACTGGCTTTTGAACTGTGCACTGATAACAAGCTGAGTGGTCTTTAGCCCGGAGGACACAGTGTCCATGATTTCCAAAACAAATTTCAAATGTTGATTTGTCAGACCACAGAACACTTTCCCACTTCCCCATGAATATATTTTACTTAATACGATACATCGGTTCCACATAAATATCTTTTACGTGTTCCATATTAATGTATTGTACATTATGCATTACATTGGCTCCACATGAATATGTTTTATTCATGTGGAGCCGATGTAAACCTTTGAATTAAGTAAAGTCAGTGCATTTTTGATGTGGTACAGTTGTAATAATACCCTGGTGCTGTAGTGTGAGATACTGGTGCTGCTGTTCTGATCTACTCAACCTTCAGCCTTCAGCTCACCAGTGCCAGTACCTCAGTGTAGAGCACTAACTCCTGTGAAGTACTGCGTTAGTGTAGAACCTGTGGCATTTAAAGTCCATGAGGAGAGCAGCTCAGTGAAAGATGGAAGGAGGGACAGAAACTCAAACGACAGTGAAAACTAAAAAGGTTCCTGATGGTGAAACCCCTTCACTTGCTGTGCTGAGTGGTACCTCAGATGCAGCATAGATGGGTAAGACGGTGCCTCGATACACCTGAGTACAGTTCAGCATCAGAACACCACTTTCATAAGCTTCAATCAGACGATCTCCTAGCCATTTAAAATTTGGAACGTTCCCACAGCCGTACGTCTCCAAGATGACACCTTCAGCTCCGTCCAGAATGCCTCGGACCTGGACAGCAGGCAAAAAACACAATATATACGTTTGGTAAATACAGATTTAGGGCGTCTGAACTGCTGAAAAACATATTTAACTTCAGTATATTTACATTTTTTATCATTTTACTACTTTATCACCACTATTATTGTCTTTGTGTTGTTATTTTCTATTTATTAATTTATAGTTTTATTTGATTGATTTGTTAATCATACTTGTCTTTTCATTTGTGTACTGATTTGCTCACTTGGTTTTCTTCACTGCACTTTTACTATCATAGATTTATATTTATTCAATATTATTTATCATTTTTCTTTTTCAGATTTTTATATTTATTATTCACATTATGTGTGAGGGTCTCCCTCAATGTACCTCGAGGTTAAATAAAGGTTGATGGATTGATTTATGTTATTATGGTAACATTTATACACTCATTGTGAGTGACTCCACCGTTGGAGCCATGCTTGGGTTCTGTAGATTAAATTGCCAGCTTTATTTTACACAGATAAATTATTTCAGCGAAGGGGTAGAACTAATGCTGACAGCTGCATTAGTCATTTTCCAAGGCTGTGTCTGAATTATATTTAACTTACGTAGTTTTCTGTGATGCCTGGGAAAAATCTCAGGATCCTCACTTCTGGTCTTCTTTCCAGTGTGAACGTCTTGCACTTTAAGGAGGAATGGAATATGGGCTCCACCATCTTATGTTCAAATACTGAAGAAGTAAAGAGATGAATTAGTTTTCCACCTGTGTACATACAGCACTGCACCATAGTACATTCATAAACACTTATATATTTAGTTTTTGTTAATGACAGTCTTAATCCAGACATGATTAAATATGGCAAATGGTTTACACAATAAGACACAGGAAAGTCTATTACATGTTTAGTAATTACATTGATGACACTAAATAGACTCATTAGTCCATAATTAAAGTTTAACTGAGGTCTGGAAAACAGCAAAGCCGCTTGGTATTTACGCTTGATGGTGGTTTCCAGGCTGGCGAGAGGGAACACATCAGGACTGTCAAACACACTGAAGGAATCACAGTCAAACTTCACCACTCGGTTGCCCTGGTACAGTTTGTTCAGGTCATAAAGCATCACCTGTAAGTAGACAACAGAGATCAAAACCGTGGATACTGTGTAGATTCGAATGTGCTGCTTCAAATATATCAAATATTGATATTTACTATGCGTTTTTGTGAGGACGTCCCTCAGAAAAACATGGATAAACATTGATTTTCTAGCAATGACAGAACTAGCAAAAAATAATAAAGATAAATATTATGCAGAAGCAGTTATTAAAGGATCTAAATAATAAACAATTATGTATAGATGCATAATAACATAAATGCATAGTTCAAACAGAATGTAATATAAAACAAACTAAGATGAATGTTCTGTTCTTCAGCTGACCTGATGCAGCATTGGTCTGTCACAAAAGTACCCAGCCATGAGCATCGAACCAATAAAGTTATCCAGACCGTCAGTTCGAGGATGGAAGATGGGCATCTACAGATACGGTGGAAGAGGAGGAGGAATCATAATTATATAGCAGTTATTTCTGGCTTGTAGCTCCCTAAAACAAGAGAAACGTGCAGACTATAAACTTTCCATCCCTGAGAGATCAGTGTAGAAGAGATATTTTATCATGAATCAAATTTGATTAATCTCCATTGTTGTGGTTGTTTTGTGTACTTTCTTATTTTTGCCCAACTATGTACAACACATTTCCAAAAAAGTTGGGACGGGGGCCTGTTTACCACTGTGTTTCATCACCTCTTCTTTAACAACACTCTGTAAGCGTTTGGGAACTGAGGAGACACTGCTGTAGTTTAGAAAGTGAAATGTTTTCCTGTTCTTGTTTGATACAGGATTTCAGCTGTTGATCAGTTCAGGGGCTCATTTGTCATATTTTTTCATTTCATAATGCGCCAAATGTTCTGAGTGGTGACAGGTCTGGACTGCAGGCAGGTCAGTTTAGCACCCAGACTCTTTTAATACGGAGCAATGCTGTTGTAATACATGCAGAATGTGGTTTTTCATTGTCTTGCTGAAATAATCAAGGCCTTCCCTGAAAAAGACGTCGTCTGGATGGCAGCATATGTTACCAAAACATGTATGTATCATTCAGCATTAATGGTGCCTTCATAGATGAGCACGTCACCCATGCCATGTGCACTAATGCCCCCATACACCATCATGAATACTGGCTTTTGAACTGTGCACTGCAAGCTGAGTGGTCTGAGTGACCACAGGACACTTTACCACTTAACCTCAGTCCATTTTAAATGAGCTCGGGCCCAGAGAAGGTGGCAGTGTTTCTGGATCCTGTTTATATGTGGTTTCTTCTCTGCATTTTAGAGTTTTAACTTGCATTTATGGATGCAGTGATGAACTGTGTTCACAGACAGTGGTTTTCAGAAGTGTTTCTGAGCCCATGCAGTGATTTCCACTACAGAATCATGTCTGTTTTTAATGCAGTGCTGACTGAGGGCCCAAAGATCACGGCCAGCAAATACTGGTTTTTGGCCTCGTCCCTTACATACAGAGATTTCTCCAGATTCTCTGAATCTTTTAATGATATTATGTACCGTAGATGATGAAAAGCAGAAGTTCTTTACTATTTTATGTTGAGAATTGTTATTCTTGAATTGTTGCACTATTTGATGGTGCAGTCTTTCACAGAGTGGTGAACCCCTCCTCATCTTTAGTTCTGAAAGACTCCGCCTCTCTGAGATGCTCTTTAATACCCAATCATGTTACTGACCTGTTGCCAATCAACCACCAGGTGTTTTTTAGCATTCCACAACTTTACCAGCCTTTTGTTGCCCCCGTGCCAACTTTTTTGGAAAGTGTTGTTGGCATCAAATTCAAAATGGGCAAATATTTTTCAAAAAACATTAAAATTTCTTAGTCTCAAAAATTTGATATGTTGTTTTTGTAGTATTTTCAATGAAATATAGGGTTTAAATGATTTGCACATCATTGTATTTTATTTTTATTTACATTTTGCACAGCGTCCCAACTTTTTTAGAAATGGGGTTGTAATATTATAGCAGTTATTTCTGGCTTTTAGCTCCCTAAAACAAGTTCAGATTGTAAACTTTCAATCCCTGCCAGATCAGTGTAGAAGAGATATTTTGTCATGAATCAAATTTGATGAAAAGTTATTGCTGTGGTTGTTGTGTGTACATTCATATTTGTGCCCAATTATGTAATTATTTGCATGATAAAAAGTGTAAAATGATTTAGATGACATATCAGTTGGTAAATGTGTAGGAAATGTGACCTGAGCTCCAGTCACGATCACAGGCTTGTTGATTTCCCCCAAAATAAAGGACAGAGCAGAGGAGGTGAAGGCCATGGTGTCTGTTCCATGGATAATAACAAACCCATC